GCTCCGCCTCCCGCACCTGCGGGACCCGCCGCGCCGCCTCGGCCGCCCCCGGGCCGCTCACTCTCCCCCCCGCCCCCGGTGCCGGTGCCTGCTGCAGTGCTGGAGGGCTGCGAGGTGGGGCTCAAGCCAAGTACGAGGTACTACGGGGGTGCTCTGCTAAATTTATTAGCGCGCTGCTAAGACGAGGCTCTGTATAAATCACGGAGCTGTATAGGGCCATAAAGTATCCCTGTGCATCCTGCCCTCGCCGGGGTTCTGGTGAATAGGAGTTCATAGGCAGCTGGGTATCAGTAACATCTCTCAGATCCGGCATATGTGACGTTTTAAAAGTCTTAGATATACAATGGGATATACTTACGGAGCAGCTAAAACTATTACATAGGATTTGTATAGATATTTTGTACTTACATACAAAAGAAATGAGGGGAAAAAAAGGTCTTAGGTCACATGCACAGTTCTTGGCATTATCTCTGACGGTTTTGAAAGCAATAAAATTATTATTTTGGGAAGGGAAAATAAAAAATATATTTTCTAAAAGTACATTATAAAGGGATGTATGATAACTGACATCTAAGTAATTAATTTCTCTCTGGTTGTAGAATGCAGATCCCGCTATAAAGGCATACTGAACTCTAAATGTAATTATATAGAAACAAATCAGTAACAGTACCTGTCATGGACACAAACCTGAAGAATTATTTGAGCCACCTGAAACATCACCTTTGAATATGGGTACATATCCAAAATGTAAACCAAACATTTATACCTTCAAAAAGTGTTAGAAAAGTTCCAGTTGAAGCAGACCTGCTGTCCCCAGTCATGTACTGAAGTATTTCTCATACCTCACAGGTAAGAAAAGGCAGTTTGTAACTGATGCCACCAGCAGCCTCAGGTCTCGCTAACCATTGGGTATTACAGGACAGGGACAGAAGATGACTTGTCCAACGCCTGTTTCTCCAGTAGACTGGCCATGAACATGTTTTCCTAAACACTAACCATCCCATGACTTTATCTTTCAACTTCATTCTTGAACAAACACACTTTAACAATGCAAACAAAGTCCAAATTTCACTTTGTTCTCACAAAGCCCTTTGGCAGTCCTGTGCAAAGATACTCTCTTGACCAGTTCTCCTCAGTGGGAAACTAGTTGGGCTCCAGTGGGGCTGGTCTGTCTGTCTTCAGCTAAGAATCTAAACCATTTTCACGGGATTTTGTTCTCATCCTACACACTTCAGAGTAATTCATGCATGTATGCACTTGACTATGTATTTTAGAGTAAGAGTGGTCCCACTGAAATCAGCACTTAAGGACTTAAGTCCACCAGGGTCTAACGCCTCACACCACACAGAGAGGAAAACCAAGCATATCCTCTTCACCTACCGATGTTCAGTGAGTGCAAGAGACAAACAGTGAAGACAATGTGTCTAGTGCCTAAAGCAGATGAGGAACAAAAGCTCCTGGGTTCTGTTCAATGCCTTCTGCACACTCCGGAGAAATGGAAGAGCTGGCAGTAGTTTTGCTAGAACACTGGGGGACTCCGGCAGCATTTGTGGAGTGCTTTGAGACCTTGGGTAAGCAAAGAAACGCAGATGGTTGTTACGTTATGCAGCACAGTTCTGTGTGATCTGCCAGGGATGTGACCTGTGAGGGGGTGGCAGGGCTGGAGCTGGAGAGCTATTGCAACACGGCAAGTCCCTGCTCCCACTCCCATTACCACAGCATACGCCAATGGCTCCTTCCCAGCCTGGGGAGAGATTCCACTGCCCTTAGGCCCCCAGCACAGCCCTTTAACTTCATTAGTAGCTGAGCATACCCAGTCCTTCATTTAACTGCAGATACCTAAATGTATGTGTCTCTTTTCTCTCACTGGACTATATGTACTGATACATGTGGATTGCAGCAATACACAAAAGGCAAAAAAGCTCATTTTTCTCATCTAGTTGGCTGGAAACAACAGGCAGCAAAAATGTAGCTCCAACCAAAACAAGAGCTTTCCCAGTTCTTTATTCTGAGGCTTACCACCTAATACATTTTTTTAATTCAAACCCAAAGCTTTACAGTCATTGTCTCCCTTGTGTATATATCACATGTTCCTGCAAGGGATATCTGGTCTGGCCGCGAGGGTGAATGGTCACCTGAAAACACCATGGCTTCGGGGCCTCAGCCCAAGAGAGATCTGCTGCAAGCAGTGACAGAAGTCCTGGTACCCTCCACAGAATCGAGTACAACCTCACTGGGCTGTGCTGGTGCCCGCACGATTCTCATCAGCATGTCACCGCGGACACTCGACTGTTTGTATATTTATGACTGTGACTGTTGAGCAGCAGCCTCTGCTGAGCCCACTGTGACCAACAGACTTGTCTCACAAAGCTCATGCTGAGTGAGATATGAAGGGACAGTTAGAGATGAAGCTTGCAGGGAGAGGTGGGGGAAGAAAGGAGAGAAGGGAGGGAGCCTGTGTGTTGAACCTGCCTTAGAAGTCAAATTTCTTCTTCACGAGACACAGGAGATTCGTTTCCCTTCAGATTTTATGGATGTTTGATTCTGCTAAATTTGTCTTAGTACTGCTATGACATGGGAATTAAAAGCACTGAGACTTTGCTGTAGACATTGAGTCATGGACTCTTAAACTGATCAAATCTACCACTTATTTTTCCTTCCTATTAGATGAAAGTAGAGTTCAATAAAGTACAGATCAGAACTTTTGTGATGTCTTGACAAACCTTTCTTGAAATACTTAATATGTTAGTTGAAAAGAAAGAAGCAAAAACAAGGCACAAAGGAACCCTGTCAACTTGTTATTTATGTTTTTTAAAATGAAACAATGAAAGGAACAACTAAATAAGTGTGATTCCTTTCTCTAGATTGCACTATCATAGATTAATAGCTCTATGAACAGATTTGCAAGTAGCACCATCGTGCTAATCAAGATATTAAAAAAGTTTACGAGCAGTTGCTTAGAAAAAACAAGATAAAGCCTATGGAAATCTGATACTGGTCAATGGTGCATTTATTCAAAACATAATACTGACTTCAAGTCTCCATAAATCCTTTGCAAATGAAACTTCCATTGTGATCACTGTTCCAGATCTAAATGATTTATATTTTTTCTTCAGTAGACATTAGATATATCTCGGAATGCACAAGTTATGTACCTATTGATACAGAGTTAATCATGCCCCCATGAGATAATAAATATTAAATTCAAATAAGAAGATAATTCAAAGAAGGAGTGAAAAAAATAAGAAATTTTTTTTGATTTATTAGTAGATTAACTTACATGAAAAAACTCACATTTCTGTGTGATTTGTTTCAGAATTCAGGGCTTGCACAGTTCTAACCAGTTAGCTCTTGGGAACAGAGCAGACGTTGGATTGTGTGCACTTTCAAAACTGAGTGCTTAGCAATATTTATCTCATTGCTTCACTCTGAGCAGCAGCAACCTTTGCAATTTCTAAGTGCATTTGACAAAAAGGGTTCTACTGCTTTGAGCAGCTGCTGGAAAACAAGGAATATACTGAAAGGCCAAACAGAAGAGACCCACCAGGAAAACAGTCTGTCAGCCCATTCTCCTAACTCCATGATCTGAGCTTCCCAATTTGTAGAAGCCTTGTGGTCTTCACTGCCTCTGGGTTTCTGGGGTTTTGCATGCTTCTCTCCTAATTGTTCAAATCCAAATGGATTCTCAGTTATCAATTTACTCTCAAAACCTCTGGGCAGATGTCAAAATAAGTTCAGCAAATTGGTTGGATAAGCTAAAAACACACTTAATTTTTCATCAGATAAACTTCTCTCAGAGGAACTAAGTGAGTCAGCTTTAGCCAGACACCAGATCTATAATGAAATAATTATATGAATGGGTAACACGAACACCTTGTAATAACTACATGTGCTTTATCATGGAATGAAAGTTCTTGAATAAGTTGAGTAAGTTCCTGAATAATTTTCCTTAATTTACCAGTCTTTGTTTAAGCATGAAAAAACCTCTCTGGCCAAATAAGGATTTCAGAGTATTTCACACTTGCAATATGCTCCACTCCAACACCATCTATCGATGGTGTCTATCAATAATATCCATCCAGATACTGTAAAGGTTTGGGCCCAGATTTATGAGGACATGTGCAAAGGCATATGCAATTGCCACATAATACATCTCCAGAGATCACGTCCTTTTGGATAGTTGAATCCAACCTTGCAGTCTCCTGTACCGAGCATCAAAGAAACAGGATCAATCCATAACCGCAGTAAACATATTTGCACGCACCAGCTCAGAGGAGGCAGGTTTTCTTCAAGAGCTGTAATATTATTCAGTAATCCTAACCAAAAGAGAAGCCAGAGGCCGGTCAACGCACAAGGGATGCTCTGGGCTGCCCAGCAAATGCAAGGAATTCAAAGAACCTCAAACACAGTTAAAAGATGGGAAGCACTATCCACTCCTGGATGCCAAGTTATTAGGTGACTACAGAGCTATGCTTTGTGGAGCACTGCGAGGTTCTGAATAGTCTTGTACAACTTTTCCCAAATCGCAGAAGTCCCCTGGGAAACTTCAGTAATCAAACAAGATCTCGCGGTCAGGAAGCTTTTCTTCATCCAGCCAATTTTATTTCCCCTTCATCATTCCATCTATTACTCATTACATCCTCCTGCCAAACTCGACATAATTCTTCTCTCTCTCATGCTTACTTGTTTGAGTTACATATAGACCATTATGTCCTTTCATCCCAGCCTTTCCTACCCCTTATTCAGGCTGCATGTATTTAGTCCTTTTCATTTTTCCTGCTGTCCTCCTCTGAGCTCCCACCAATAGCATCTCTCCAGAATAGAAGCCCTCTGAGTTGACCTAAATATTCTGCAAACAATTACATTTGGCAGTCTCTAAACGTAAGGACGCACAAACCAATGACTAATTCACCTTGAACAACTGAGTGAGAGTCCAAAGCCATAAAATTGTCAAATCAGGATAGGGAACTTTGGATGACACTGCAAGATCAACTTCACAGGAAGCCCTCAAGTAATGATGTCTTAAAAAAATTCGCTGGTCTGCTTTATGGTCCTTGTCTCAAGGAATGTGTCATTAAGTACATATTTGCAGTGATTTTTATGTACAAAATATTTTATAAGCATTCTGTCACTGCAACATTAAGAACATACTTGTAAGTGCATATTATCCTTACAATCTTATAATATATTCTGGGGACACAACTTAATTATTGTTCCAAGATACTGAAGTTCATGTAAAGGCAACTTTTTACCCAATTAAATAACTTATTGTTGAGCAACTCATGCTTAAAACATTAGAACATCACTGTGTTACAGTTACAATAGTTTGCTTCTGTCATCATATCCTGCTTCAAAGAAACAGCTTCCACAGCCTTTCACTGATAGAAACATGTAGTTCTTATCCAGAAACAAGGCAAGGTCATTGCTCAAACCAGAGCACATTACAAATTATACTTCATCTACGTAACTTACAATTTTATAAGCTCAGCTTGAAAGACTTCAAGTCTTGTCATCTGAAAATGGTGAACACGGTAACTTATCTCTTCAAAATCTGGGAGCACTATCTATTTGACATTTGGTTTACATCCAGTTAGGAAAGACAGTTACCTAGATACTCATTTTCCCTAAAACTTATCGGCTTTATGACTAGACATTGATAATGGTGTATGTCTATGTAAGGTGCCAAAACTGATGCAGGGCTACATTATCACTCCCTGAACTCAGAGTTTGATTTTCCTTTTAGAGCAGAAGAGGCAGGTAAACTCACTGCAACTTCAGAGCACTCATCAGCCCCAAGGAAAGAGATGAGGGACAGGTACTGGTACTGTGACATGCTAAATGACCTCTGCGCAACACACAGATAAGCAGTAACTTATTTTTTTAATCTGTGGAAGGTTTCAGGTTTAGACTGAGCCCTCATGCTTTTTCTGGACCTTTGACCAAAGCCTGTGTTAGGATCGCTCTAACAGCACAGTCCATTTGGGGTCACTGAAACTATTGCCATGCCTGGGCGAAGGGTGATGGCCGCAGAATTAAGACAACTACTATGTGACCCATAGGAGCTCTCAACTCCTGAGCAAGAAACATCTGACCATCTTTCAAAATGGAAAGGGCAACTGGCAGATTTAAAGGATCGTGAATACACAATAGGAAGGAGACATCTAAGTGAAGCACCTGCATCTGTCTGCTAACCCTGCACCTCTGTGGAGCAGAAAAGGCACATAACGTGCATGTCCCCAGCCAAGCCCAAATATTTGTACTTGAACTAAATTCTTACAGGATGGTTTCTGTCTTTACATAAAGCTACTCTTTGTATCGACCTCTAATTTCTGTGCTTTTTCTCCTCCCCTCAAATTTGTTCCTGTTATAAAAGAGAAGGATGCACTCCATTTCGGTCTTTCTTAGGTAACTGAAAGGAGCTACACAACACAGAATATTTGCAGATAATTTTCGCGTCAAAGACACGAAATTGCTCTGATTACCTGTCATGCATTGACCAGAGGAAAAGGAGAGAAGGGACTCTTAGCCCTCCTCCCCCCTCCCCTGCCTTTAACACTGGCTGATGCAGCGTAGCGCTCTGCCTCACCTCATGCAGTCCTGGACTCTTGGTTGTTCTCTGACTTTTACCACTATGAACCGGGGTCACGTACTTTCTTGATTATGGCCAGAAAAAAATAGGTGGCATGAGGTATGCAAGGTATCAGGCCCTATGACTGCAGACAAATCTCTAAGTACTTATGTGGATTATATTGGAAGCGTATTCCTAGAGATACTGTTCATGTTTATAAAGTCTTTTGGGGTGAATGTTGCTCAATGGAAAAGCAGCATAGAAATTTAACAAAAGCCATGCTGCAAAATGTAAAAACAAAACAAAAAAGTAATTCTCCCACAGGAGCAGAAAGGCATTTCATACATGTCCAATGAGACATTAAAAATAATTATGTGGAAGAGTAATAGCTCCCTTGGTTGTTTTAATATATTTTTGTCTACAAACAAGAAACGTTCTCTAAACTGCTGCCTTGGCTTGGCTTGAAAGGTCTCTCAAACAAAAGCCCTTCAAGTGACCCTTAGATTATTAAAGCTCAGTAACAATGAATGTGGATCTCAGTTCAAACAAAGACTGTAAAAATAAAAAGACAGCAGTTTTGGTCTTGGAAATGAGTACGCCTCAATAAACTGCAAACACATAGAACGTATTGTTGA